TCAGAGTCTGACCACCAACACCTGCAAAAATGTTAACACAGTTATAGCCTGGGACTCGAGAAAGGATTGATTCCAACTTAGGTTAACAGAAGATGTTCACCTGTCCAGCAGACAGTTAACAGCAGCAGTGAAGTTCTGCAGTGCATCATGTTGAACTGAGTATCTTTCCTCTGCAGGGGGTTTAAAACATCCTCAGTTCATCAGTTTTGCATGAACTCCTCCTTAAAGGGATTAGATGGAATCATGTCATGTTTTGTCCAAATTTAGATGTCAGCATTCGTCACATGACTCATAATCATCTATAATTTCATCACAGAAACAAACAAAAATTAACACAAAAGAATAAAGTGGTACAACAAAAGAAAACTGTCTTGATTAATTTTAACATACCTCCTAATTAAGTCTGCTGTAAAATTAATGCTGGCTGTAGAAGCAATATCTTTATAATGAAATCTATATACATTGTTTTGTAGAAAAAGTTAAAAGTACATTTAATAAGATTGCTGGAGTTACAGTCTTATTTATAATTGGCCTTTTCATTCCCACACTTTTTAATAGTAAAGCAATTTCAAAATCAGCAGTTGTGTTGGAGCTCCAGCGAAAACGTTCTGAAACACAAAAAGCTTGTTTAAAGTGTCTGAGCATCAAGAGCAAAAAGATAAAAGCCAGCTGCTTCCATCTAGTTTTACTTCTTATTTCAATGTTTTCTTTTGTGATAATAAGAATCTTATGGAAGGGCTAAAAATTCAAACTATAAAATGTAATTCATGATTTATTTGAATTCAAGTGTTACCGTCTGAATCTTTAAGTCTAACAGATTAATGTTTATTGTTGCTGGAGGTTTTTGTACAGCTGCTCAACCAACTTCAGTCACTGTGTCTGTCGAGCGCAGAAATAAACAGCTGAATCTTCAGTCTTCAGGCTGTTCATCTGCAGATACACCTGCTGCTTGCTGTTGTCTCTGGAGATGGTAAAGCGGCCTCGGACTGATGAAGAGTACCACTGGCTGGTACCACTGCGCCAACTTATGCCAGCAACCCACTCCAGTCCTTTCCCAGGAGCCTGTCTGATCCAGTGCATTGCATAATCTGGGAATGTGAATCCTGAAGCGGTACAGGTCAGGGTGTGGGATTCTCCTGGTCTTTTATTTGCTGGTTCAGATTCTTTTAGAGTCTGAGAGTGGCTTCCTATTATAAAAATTAAAGACATAACAGATAATGTTAGTGATATGAAATACAATATTTTCAAATAAAATCAGGGTAAATCATCACCTGTCCAAAAGACAGTTAAAAACAGCAGCACTGTCCTGTAGTCCATCATGTTAACCTCAGTGTCTCTGTTCTCTGTAGGAACCTGCATAAATACAGCTGAGCTTTACATTAACTCCTCCTCACAGGAAGAAACGAGGCACTGAGAGAAATTAGAATATATGAGAAAAAAAATACTGATCTAGAGTTAGCACTTTTTTTACTTCTGCATAATGTTAGAAAAAAAACAAGCCAAAAATGTCTTGGTTGGGTGAATACAGAAAATATGTTTATTTATTTAT